CTAGAGGCGCTATCACTCGCAGCTCTCCATATCGTATGTACATGGAGATAGGGCGGGTCAACCAAATACCAATGACCAATAGAAAATCAATTTGCCAATTGTTTATTTGCTTAACTACCCATTTACCTATGTAATTCCTATGTATAACAAATAGAACTTTCTAGAACTAATTAGTTGAGACCAGGGCGTAGTATTAAACGTAGTATTAAACTTTCTATGAATCCAAAACCGATCATAGCAATTGAAATCAAAACAAACAAGTTCTCAAGCGTTATCAACTGGCATGCGCCGAAGACAATAGAAATATTAGCAAACCGGTACTTGAAGTAACCCCTAATCCACCTAATCAAATTAAAATATTAAATCAAATTAGAAGTTAATACATGGGAATAATAAAAATCGATATACTCACCAAAAATAACGTATTCCTTTCGATGATATAAGTAGCGGCTTTCCTGATAGGAATTTATTCAATCCAAGTCTGTCATACGATAAGTATACACTAAAAGGCGAGAAGGAGCAGTGAAATCTCAGAAATTATAATTGCTAAAAATTAAATAGAAAACCTTGTGACCGGACAGCTGCCTTCTTGCGCTCCCTTTGGGCAGCGGCTCCTTATTTGACGGGCCCGGGTGCAGATTCGCGCTTCCGAAAGTATGTGCTTGTTTGGTTCCTTTCGTGAATTCAGGTTCATCGGGGAATGTTATGTCCCGGAAATGTTAGGTGTGACCAGGGCTTCGATCCGAAGAATCCGTGTCGAATTCTTTTGTTAATTAACACGGTTGCCAGCTGAGTTGTTCACCCCAGCAGTTTTCCTCGTGGGCGCTCTCTTACAATGGCGCATTTTCCCCACGTTACTAATTGCCGGTTTTCGGTCTTCGACAAGAAATGACCGGGTGGCTGGATTCCATGTGAGGAGTCGGTTAGGATGTCCAGCTCCGAGGTATATAATCCCCCTATTCACGGGTCGGAGTCGCTGTTGCTCCAGTGGAGGCTACTAGCTTGTGCCCTATGGCTCACGCCTAGGCGTCGGAATTCCTCAGGATGTGGTGGTTCCGTAAGAATCTCGGCTGCTGTGGCCGGATGCCCGTGGATACACTCGGCGAATCGACTTGTATCGATCGAGCGTCACTCTAGATCGCTTCACCTGCTTCTAAAGGCGGTAGATGGCGGTGCAGTCTTCCCGAATTTCTAGGCTCCGGTGGGTATTCTTGAAAAGGCAATCTTTGCAGGATTCTCGTCCACTCATGCACTATCGGTCGCACTCACGCCAAAAGTGTTTGTAGTTTATGCCTGACTTATTTTAGGTTATCCCTAACGACGCGGTCAGTATCACGCCAGGATTGCTTCGTTACCGAGCACGGATCTACACGATTGAAAATAATTCGTGGCGTCACCGCTAGATGGCGCGCCGTTTCGCCTTACATTCGCGTGTCACTGAGCACACACGAAAGGCTCAACCCGATATAACGATATGAGAATTATACTATCTCATGATTTATAATAAATCAGCAATCGAACAATTGCCTCACTAGAACGTCCATGCGAAATGATCCGTCAATCCTGGAGGATGAATGAATTACTTTCTCGACAACTATCCCGCAGGAAACACGAACACGAATGTCCGCCGAAGGCGAATACTAATCAATGTATCGATGTCGTCTCTGGAACCTTGTATTAACTCCAAACAGATCTCACGGCAATGCGAAACATAGTCCAATCACGTTATCGCCGATCCCGGATAATCCTTTAAACGTCGCGTGAAATGGCTGCTCCGTGTCTGTATCTCCCCCTATTATTGGAGAGGACAGAGAAGCCCACTGGCTCTGATGATGTGAATTAAATAATTAATTACACGCAGATTAATTAAACCAATAATTTATTGCATAATTCACATAAAACACACGCGTGTCATGCGCGGTTCGATTCACAACGAATTTATGTTTTACAAAAGAATTATTTATTCCGCAGCTATATAACAATAGACTTTGTCTAATCCGCACGCTTTCTAATGCCCGACGGTTGATCTACCGCTCACGACGCGATACGTTGTCGCTCGCGAAGATTCAATCAAAATCCTTGAATGGCGGCGGTGCGACACCTTACATAGGGGCTTCCCCCACCATCATGACATTACGCAAATTTTAATTATTAATAAATATAAATTAATAAAATCTAGCATCAACATGACTATTTTACAAAATACAATTGGTGACAATCATACGATAGTCATATTGTTGCTTACATCATAAGAAATTGCGTAACTCGAAATATCTTGCGCATAATAAACATTTAATATTTATTGACGCGTACAAACAATTAATCATGACCCTCAATTGTGGTGGCAATTATAACATATGATACATTTACAGCGGTCTTAATTATCACTTTTTACAATACCAAATCTTATGCTAAAGATCGGACTAGGATCATCTGTTTATTATTAACAATATGTGCAATGTGTCAACGTAGTGGTGGATGGTTACATAATTTATTTTATGACTACCTTAAAGCTAGAAAATCACATTTTGTGGATTTAGCAACTAATTTTAGGAATTTTCCATTAGAGCTACTTGACCTTATTTTTCTCTTTTGGCGGTCATTACAATCGCTTTAAGTCACGTACGCCAATTATTTCACCAATTATTTGGCTACGTAAAAACTACGTTAACATTTGATTTATTAATGCTAACTCGCCTTATGCTACACTATGCCGTCGCGCGGCGCCTGCCGATGCAGATCTCTATGCTTTGGTGCAGCATACGTAACATATTTCCGGTCGTCGAATATCTCGCTTAATTGATTATTTATAACAATTCATTCGCTACTTGATAATTCGTTTCGACGGCCTGGTTCGGTTGGTACTCGTAAACGTTAATAATTATTGATAATTATTACTCTTTTTGGTTAGTTCCAACTAAGTCCTATAGATGGCTATTATTACTGGTGACATCTGTCGCCTGCCATCCGAACTAGCTAAGATTCGCATTTATCTCCTGAGATGGTAAACCGCTGACATTATCGGTAACGGAAAATCTTTGCAATTAATTAATAATTTCTCGATCTCATTGAACAACTGAGTTGCCTACATCGTGTAACAATGGTGGATGATCTAATTTTTTATGTTTGCATTTATTCGATATTTCGTGAGTATTCCCGAAAATAATCCATGTTTATTGCTTTATTACTTGTATACCACCACCGACCTATTCCCTGTCAACTACAGGTTTGGCTGATGGCCATTATTTATGATCAAGGACCTGACAATGACGATACATTTGGTCGTTGACCATAACACATGCGACGGACGACATAACGAATATCCCGCTACGCTAAGCTAAGTCCTGAGATATGACGTCGGTCACAACCTATCCTGTTTTCCAAAGCAAATCAGTGACCAGTATTGTAACGTTTGTTGATAGTGCAATTTCGTACGCTCCTTATGAGTGTACGAAATGGGATGTAGGTAAGTGCTCGGGGCTGGCGTCTTTAAGAATTTAGTCGACACAGGTTGATAAACTAAAATCAAATAACAAAAAATTTATTGAATTATCGTTAATCAGTACAAGTCGTTTTGTGACGTGTATCCCTTATAATCGTTTGATATAACGGTCGGTATTGTAGGAAGGATTGTCAAGGAATCGTCCTATGTTTGTTTTCTATTCTTATCTCTCTCTGACCTGTATGTGAGGTACAGAGGATCTGCCTGTGTTGGTCCTATAGCCCTAGTGGCGCTTTGCCTATCTATTGGCTATGGCACTGTGTGCGACTCAACTACTCACGGCGCGGATTATAGATTATAACAATATTGCCACGATTGAAGTTTCTGAGGTAGATCGCTATGTTCTCCTCAGAACTTGGACAATTTTTCTCTAAGCGGAATAGCTAATGCTAATGTTCCGTAGCCTTTCGACACAATTATGATCAGTAATGAAACGAATATGCTCTATCCCAGAGGGCATAAATCGAGCTTAACAATTTAACGATTCTAAATGCGATAACCTTGCGGATTTAAGTTACGTGGACTTGAACTATACTCACTTGTCTTTTCTGATTTTCGACTATTCTCTCTAGTAATTCCGGTTTTTGAATATCATGCCTCGATTGATTTGACATGTCGTATTTGACTGATTGTAATCCGATATTTATTACCGAGAAGCGCTAATCTTCTATCGGATTCTTTTTCTATTACTTTCCGCGGATTCACTTTTGGCAGACGTTTTTCATCTATCAGCTGGTGTTGACAATAGCCGCGCGTCCTTGTCGTCTATTTGTAACGAGTGAACTCTCAGTACAGGAGTATTGAGAGGTTGATCTTTTTGTCACGTTACAGTATTGTACTGCAAACTGTGGGAGATTATCCTTAATAATTCCTGGTCTTAGGGAGAATAATGTCTCATCTAACGATCAGGAATTCTGCTATTCACTCTAAATTCTATGCAGCAAAGTCATTGTATTGGCGTTGACAAAAACCAGCCTAATTATCAAATCAAACTTCTAAAGAGTTCAGTTCCAAATGTGATTATGATTAGTAGCTGTCTAAGCTCTCCACGGTCCTTTCCAGGTCTAAGGAGTCATTGTGATATCCTTTAGTATCGGGAACGACCTCCTAAATCATCCATATCAACCTATAGAAGTTATTGTAATAGAACTGTCAGGAGTACAGTTTCACCTAATCTCCAAACACCAGCCTGCAAAAGTTCACAAGTCAAAAGTCACTGAGTCAAAAACTATCCCAAAGATAATATAATCGACGAATGGGGATCATCGTGATCACCTGTGGTTTTGAGCTATTATCGTCCTTATTTTCAGCTGGACTACAATCACCGGACTCATCGTGCATTCCACTGTAATGTATATTCAGCTATCTCTTTCCCTCTCCTAGAAACTAGTATAAGGAAAGAATAGAGGCATATACTTCCTATTGTTTGCGGATCAACAATAAATATTGTAAAAATTTATGAGAGTGTGTGTGAGAGAGATACATAGAAACTAAGTGATATATCAAGATTATTTTTATTTTAAAGGTAAGTGATATTTCCTATAAAGAAGCCTGCACAGTACACAAACCTCCTAAAAATCTCGCAAAACGTTTCAATAGCTATGAATGCTTATATACGAAGATGTATTTATTATAAAGAATTTGCTACCAAAGCATATAGGTTTCGATGTCGCTGAATACGAATCTGAAGTCTTCTCAATAACTTTTAAATTTATTTCAAAATCATAATTAGCGACCTCAGAATAAATATTTTTTTTATTTCCATTAAAAACAGGTCCCATGTTTTTTTTAACAATTCCATTTAACTTCTGTTAATACGACAAGCAGGTAAGCAAATGAAGATATTGAAATATCGACAATTTTAATTTGGCATATTTCCAATTTTTAAAATCTATTCACTAACGTATTCAACGACCGTAAAAACCTTTAAATGGATGAGAGCATTTTTATCTTACGCCTAAAAATTTTTGCATTTGCAAAAGATTTTCCACAGATTAATTGGTAAACAGGAGGCTAAGATGTATAGGTCCTCGAAGATGATTGTCTTCTGTCGCGTACAGACGCTCTGAAAAGAACGGGTGCGGAATGAACGATGCATGAGTACATAACAAGCACGATTGTGATTTTCTTTATAGAACTAATAGTCATTTTGTGACCCGTTGCTAAATTTAGTCATCGTGAAACATATTTTATTCAAATTTAATAATTGAAATAATCAATTTTAATGGTCAGTAAATCGCCAAAGAACTGTAGTAATAAACTAGAGAGAACCGTATCAGTTGTGTTATAAACTGGTTTAATTTTGGTATTTTTTTTAAGAAAGTTGTCGATCGAATTTTTTCAAATTTACGGAATTCATTTATCATACATTAGTGTATTCTCATACATTTTTTCATTCACCAACAAAATTAATTTATTGATTTATGAGAACAAACGTGTACTGCGACTAAAACGTTGCGCCGACCTGGTGAGCACGATAACTGCTCGTCATTTTGCATGAACAAAAAAAACACGTACTATAAAAAACACTTTTCTCCAGAGGATGGAACTCTGTAAAAAATTAAATTAGAAAATTATGGAAATTACTGCTCAGCTACCATAAAATACCATTCTTTAATGTTTTTTTAAGAATAAATAATTTCTTGTACGTAAATAAAACGATGAAAATTCAAACATATTCCACATAATTGACGACTCGTTGTATCACATAGTAAAGTCATAAATTATTTAATTTCAGAGGATCTGTTATCTAAACAGCTGTTTTCAAATTTCCTTAAATAAGATGTTATGAACTAGTTACTGCGTTAATTTTTTCTTCCTCTAGTAACAGTTCATATTTCTAAATATTTGTACATGTTTAACGTTTTATGGCAGGACTATGAGTTATGAATTTAACTATCATCTATACAGTTTGTATGAAAGTAATATAATTCTACTCATACACATATATAATAAATACGGGATAAAGTTACATCGAATCTTTAAAATGTGAAATACATCTTATAGGAACTAACTTACACGCTTTATCTCCTATATATATCATTGTATTTAATAATATTCTGTGAGTATTCAAAGTATTCGAAAAATTAATTAAGAATATTTAACTAATTTTAATATATTATAAAGCATGTTAAACTGGGAGCATAAAACATGCACAAAATATTGAATATAACGATAATACATGCCTGTCATTGCTTGATCGGTTTATATCTGGCCAGTCTCAGTTGCACAGGATTTGAAACTTTTAATTGGAAAGCAATATCTTCTACAGAAGCTTCACGCATATCTTGTCCACAAATGGAAATTATACGATCGCCCTTTACAATCTTTCCAGACTCCAATGCACTACCTCCAGGAAACTGAAATTCATATAGAAAATACAATAACATAGTAACGAACTTGTTACAAATATTACGTTATTATTGTAAACAAAGAGAAGGGAGGTTTCATTCAAGAAAATTAATGTGTTCTTGAAACAATGATACAACTTACAACTAGACAGAGATCCAGTCATCTCATTTAATGATCTTCTTTAAAATTATTTAATGTTTTCTTTTAGATTATTCAATCGTAGGTATTCCGTAACATAACACCGTCCCAACATTTTAAATATAGATTCTAATAAAATAACTTTTTCGTAAAATCGTAATCTTCCTTTTTGTGTTCGTTGAATTTGAATCCGACAGCACAAATTTGAAATTCATAATGACAGATCGAATGTGGCAGATCAAATTTTAATAAATGCTAATAAAATGAGATTTATTTTGCAAAGTTTTTTGTGATCGCTGAATTTTAATTCAACATCAGAAATTCAAAATTCAAAATGGCAGATCAATTATGTCAACCAAGTCCAAACCAAATATTCAAAAATCCAACCAATTGGCTAGAGTTATAAGTGTTTCTGGATTAGAGCCCCAGTATGTACCACAGAGAAACTTTACTATATTTAGTGCTTTACAACAAAATATAGCAATTAGGTCATCACTGGGTTTTCGGATTAGTACACCTTTAAATATACTCACAGCAGAATCAAAACTAATATCTCTCAAAGAAAGAATAAAATATCAATGTAATTGCTATCTAGCAAAAACGCACTCAAACACAGAGACAGTAGTAAATCAAAATATTGCCAAATACTATAATATAGTAAAAAAAAAGGGCAATACCCGCCGAAAAATTATTTTCCAATGCATAAATTCTTTTGTAAATAATGTAAAAAGTTTAGATATAAAAAAAAATTTAACATTTATGATTATGATTATAAATCTGTTATTACACAAATTCCATATAACTCAACATTTGGAAATTTACTAAAGAAATCTCAAAATCCAAATGAGTCCTTTAATAGTTTCTTTCAAAACAGCGATGTAATTAAAATTTACACTGACGGTAGTAAATCAAATGAATCTATGAATACAGGATCTGCGTGCATATGCCCAGAACTAGATATACATATCATTAAGAGTATAGATAAAGAAGCGTCAGTGTATACTGCAGAATGCATTGCTCTTAACAATGCGTTTGACGTTGCCTTGGCTCACACAAATCGAAACTTCCTTATTTTTTCAGATGCTCTTAGTGTTTTACAAAGTCTAAACTCAAACAAAATAAATGTTAAAATCAATGATTATATCCTACAAATTAAATCTAAGTTCAATAAATTTCACCAAGATAGACTCGATTTCGATTTTAGTAACAAAACAATCCAACTGTTCTGGATACCCTCTCATATAGGAATAATTGGAAACGAGGGTGCTGATTTGTGCGCCAAGGCAGCGTGCGAGCTTCAAGAGACAAACATTAATACTATACCCTTCACAGATCTTACTTCATACTTTAAACAGGACATGCATCTCAAAAATTGTCAATCTCTTGAAATTGTTGGTCTCGAAAAAGGCATTATATACTTCAAAAATTATTACACAAAGAAACAAAAGCCTTGGTTCCACAAATCAAGACTTAGTAGAAAAATTATTGTAACAATTAATCGAATGCGCAGCAATCGTTATAATCTTGCAGTATCCTTAGCTCGTAAACATATAATAAATGATGGTAAATGTAAATGCAGTACACAAGAGAACACATACGACGAAGATTTAAATTTTGAAGATGAAAGATGAAGATGAAGATTTTTCAGTGCTCTCTTTATAACGAGCAAAGGAAGAAACTATTAAAAGATCTCAAAAAATGTAAAATTTTTCCACTGTACAACATAGAATCTATTATAGCCAAACCAAATATTGTAGCTTGTATAATAGTGTGTAAGTTCCTTGAAGATTGTAAACTCCAAATTTGAAAACTCATGTATATAAAAAAAAAATAATATTCATGTAAAATATTATGTATAAGAACAACTTATCAATGTACAAAGATGTATAAATAAAGATCAGCTGAAATTAGTCTCATATGAGACTAAAAAGGCATTTAAAAAGAAAAAAAAAAGGGTTCGGCAATCTTCGGATTTGCCGAATTTAATCTCTTTCCGGTAATCGGTAAATATACACGTGCGGAAATTTGAGTGAGCAATATTGTAGATTTTTGTTGCGGAGTTGATTGACGACTCGACATTTTTCTTTTTCTTTGGAATCCTTTTATTGGACGACGCGGCTGTGAACTTGGGACTCGATTTCGATTTTGGTTTTTTTTTGTGGCATATCCGTAAGGGCACAGGGTGACTCTGCAGTGCGTGAGGTGGTGCAAGACAGAGAGAACGGCAGAGTGACCCGTGGGTGGCATCAGGCGAGAGAAGGACCCCTCGCCCCGAATGTATCTTTGGATTTTGTTTTTGGTTGATCGTCCAAGGGTCCACTTGAGTAGATAGCCGCTTCACTGGTGAGTAGCGCCGAGAGCGGCTCTTCTTATTGCATGTTTTCCCCTCGGAGAAAAGGCCGGGATAGTTGTCTACACGGAGCCCGAGCGGAGAATGGTGGTCCAGGCGTTCGGTACGGTGACGTGCGAAGATGTGCGTTGGGGAAGAGATTCGCCCACTGAACTTTGTAGGGCCGCGAACCGCGTCGTGAGGGATTCCCGAACCGTTGGTAGGGCCGGCTAGAAACGGTAGGAAAGGTTGACCCGGCGGCCCTTACGGAGGGCCGCGATCGCTGTTGGGAGTTATTGTACGCGTCGGGACGGATTGTACTGATACCGTTTATCTGATTTGAATAAACGGACGTTCAAACTTCAGGCGTTATCATTGGCATATCCCAAACTGTTCGATTCTTGTCGATCCCGCGATCCCCTCTATCATTTCAGCTAGCTGAGGCTGAGCAGCCGGGAGACCACGAAAAAGCAGCCATAGCAGGTACATCGGTGCGGAGCATCTGTCCGCATCTGGCGCCCAACACTCCGATCTAGTTCGAATTTCGGATAGTTTTCGGATTTCAGCACGTTGGAAGCGGCCGCGTATTATTTATAGGCGTATTATATACAGCTGGGCAACAACTTTCATGACTAGTTAGAAAGAACTGTTGATGCCGGATGTCTGCTGGGTTGATGGGAATGTATCACACGTCATTTTCAACGCAAGGAATCCTAGTTAATAAATTAGTCGTTTATTTACAATTAATTATACGCCTTCTTACAGAATTTTTGCCGATAGTGGAAATTCTTGCAATTGCCCCTACTCCCTCTCACACTCTTTCCCAGGCTTGCAGTTATGTTGGGTCAACCACGTTCAACCATATTCGTCCATACACGTGTAATTAGTTTATGAAAATAGTACAATATTTTTGTTTTTGAAAATGTTGATACTCGCCATATTAGATTCGCCATTTTGAATAAAAATTTTGTACACTTAATTCAAATAGAGTATCACAGAAAACCCCAGTAGCCCAAGTGTCATATAAATTAAACTGAAAGTTTTTAAAATAAAAGGGGATGTCGCATATAGTCGATTTCTCCCCGAAAAGGTTTAATACACTTTTTATATGGTTGATAATCCTATTTCTTACCATGTCGGATACGTAAGCTCCTATACCACTTTTGAAGCCAGTTATACAAAGTCCCGCACCCTTTCCAGATTTCTTCTGAATTTCCACATCAATCTCTTCGAGAGCCTTATCCTCACGAAGCACTATCATGTGTATCTATAAAATAAAATATGAAAGAATAATACCATTTCTGTAATTTTTTGATAAACATAAATAATCAAAAGATTTTTTAGGATCGTGAAAAAAGGCTGTGGCAGAATTTTTTCACGATCCTAAAAAATTCGTTTAGTCTAACCCTAGCCTGTTGAGTGACTCCCACCCGAGCCCTAGCCTAACAATCTCTACCGAGATTGGAAAAAAAAAATAATGACATTTTCTAGAAAAGAGATAGTCTATAATATTGGTCACTTAAAAGACACCCAATAAATAATTAAATTAATATGGCCAAAAATTTCATAGTTTCTTAAAATAACAGTTCAAAGCCTAGATCGCCGCGATGTAGCTAAGTAGTCACTAACTATGCTCATTTTCAGACGTACATCGAAATGCTATATTACAACATATATCATAATATTACACATACCGTTCCTGAGACTTTTAGAATGAATTCGCGAGCTGTTGCGTATTCTATGGTTTTGAAGCTCTCGTGGCACATTTCGATTATTTGATCGCCAGGTTTTAATCGACCATCTTTTCCTGCTGCACCATCTGGATAAACTTCAAGTATTACGATGCTACCCTATGAAAAGAAAATATACAGTAAATTATTCCTTCCTTCGTTTTTGTTATACATATACTATACAAAATTTGGTGTTCGAAATAACAGCAATTCAACATCGGCTTGAAGTCCACACTGCTTTTACTATTGATCTGCATAGTCAGAAATAGGATTGCTACGTATATCGACCTTCATTCCGAAACAGAAGAATAACGTAGCCGACAGGGAGCATAATTGCAGACTCAGCACGTTACCCAGTGCATTGCTCGTGCCACCTACCCAGCTGGTTAGTCGAGTGTATTCCTAACGTCCTAACCGTACCTAGAGCATCAGCAAAAATCGACTATATAAGCAGCCAAAATCATGGCACAGAAGCTCAGAAAATCATTCAGTTTCACGCGTAAAAGATCGGACTGCACGTCGTCACTCGTGGCTCTAACCGTTAGAGTATTAGATTCAGTGTAGTATTCGCAATCTGACCTAGGTACGGATTCGTTATTACATACCCTAGGGAACAAGCTGGATCGGTTACCGGGCAAAATTGAGCTGCATAGACTAGTCTTTCCAAATATCGCATAGATTTGATAGATTTCTGTTCCACCAAATTTCTTCTTGCCTTAATCTCACACACAGTCAGGTTTTGTTATCCGATTTCACAATATTTCTCATAATAGAAACACTGTACACTACAATTAATTGAAAACTTTAAAATTGGTTGTAACAATATATCATAAACTCATATTTTACTCGCGTTTTAAATATCTCTTACCCATCCTCAACATTTCAGAGAATATCTACCCACGTTGGAATAGCAAGGCGTGTTTCAACACCTTAAACGAGCAGCGAACCCACCATTGAGTGCATTCTTACCGCTCGGAATTCACTCAAATATTATTCACGTTACCTCCGGTCGTTCCTTTTCTTTTGGTTACTTCTAAATTTTTGTTATCAAATTTAAAGGCCTCGCTAGCCACTACGGCCTACGTAACAGGATCTTAAAAATGTATCAAGAAATTTAACAGCATAGCTGTATCCAGTTAATAGGTATACAATAGAACCTTATTGTGGACATACCCCAGAAGATAATAAAAAACTCAGACAATGCAGAATAAAGGTTTTAACGCATTTTCTTAACTCGACACTGATAGCGAAAAATCCGAGAACTATCCTGCGTTACCGTTGGGCGCACACCCTTCGCACATATATCCGCAAGCTAGGTGGACACCGCCAATTTTGTTGTCACCGGGAGCTGAAAAGTCGGTATGACCTGGGAGTTGGGGTGGAAAAGGCACAGCTCCGCCAAAACTAGAGCTCTGACGGAATCTATCAGAAAATACGATAACTAAACGGATCATGTCGATTTTTGAGGACGCGTAAAATCGAGAAACGCAACCGTAGGTGCTAATCTTTGGGGTCGCGTAAAATCAGCAAACGCAACTGGATGCACGGACGAGAGCGGACGGTTACAGAAATGCACTGCCGCTCAGGTTGCTAGATTGAGGTAGAGAGGGTCGGAGTAAGCATTAGGTATATAGTGTGGGATACAGAATGCAACGGATCGAGAATGTAACATAAAGAATCGAAACTCGCAAACCGAAACTCCTACATCAATTAATAAATTGGGAGACCTCACCGGCTCTGGTGCAGCTAATCTGTGAACGCTGAAAACTGTATCCACAGGACACTCGGGGGGGAACTACACTAGTGGCCGTATTCATAGTCGTTCCTTGAGGAATAAGGATCCCTTGTTCTTCGTTTCGCATTTCATAGATCTTCTTTGAGAGAACAAGGAGCCTTATTGGCCTCCTTATTTCAAAGGAAGTCTCGAGCTTCCTTGAGGAAATCTTCTGCACTGTGATTGGCTGTTTCGTTTGATATGTCTAGCGCCACAAGCGGCCTCGACACCTCGTGTATGCTAATAAAGAACTACAGTTTATTACTTACTACCTTTACTATGAAATATCCAGAAAGAAACAATGAAAAAACATAATAAAAAAGCCAGTTATCATTTAAACGTGAAATACAACAAAATTTCAATACAGCTGTTATTTTATTGTAAAGAAACACGTACATTTTATAAAATAAGAACAAAGTAAACTTACCAAAGGCGTGTCGGATCCACCAACTATTGTAAGTCCGATTCCCGTATCTTTACTTTTGGAAAATTCAATTGTAGTTTCTTTTCCAATTGATATCTCACAGTCTTTTGGATCTTTAGGAGGTTCTGGTTCCTTAGGTTTCTCTGGTTCTTTTGGTGCAGCTAATATAGTAAAAGAAATAATAAAGTATAAACGATAGTAGTTTCTCCATCGAAATAAAAAAAAATAAAACTTTTGCAGTCTTTTATCGTTGATATATGAGCGATCTTTTGGCAAGTTATATTTCTAAGACACGTGGCAAAGGACGGCATAACTTAAGGGGAACCATCCACTAATTGTATTGCGCGCCTCTTTTCTCAATATAAAATGTAGTACTCTTCACTTCCATGTAGAGGCATCACGGTTTTTAAAGACCAATGAAAACTTCGAACCAATCCTCATGCGTGCATGACTAGTCCCCAAACGTTATTCTTTGTTTTCACGCCGAATTTGTCACATCACGTGTGGTGCAATAATAGAAATGGCAGAAAGAAAACGTAGTTCTTCGGACGATGAGGCTAAGGAGAATCGTTTAGTCAAGAAAATGAATCGTCTTTTAGGGATTTTTCAGGAATATCAGAAAAGTGATTAAGAATTGAAATTCATTCGTTACGTTATAAGCTCTAAATTGTTGGCAAGCTTTGTCTTAGACGAACGGGAGAAAATGTGACGTGGCGTGCCTAAACAAGCGAGTTTCTCGATTGCGGAAGTTAAATTTCGTAGCATGATGAGAGTTCAGTTATATAATTTACGGTTGGTTTTTTTTGTATCCTAATGTTGATGGCCAACCGGATGGTACAAGTAAATTAATTGTTAATCTTAAAGGGTTTTAAATAAGTTCATAAAAACTGAGTATTTTAACCAGGAAGGCTATAAAGTAGCCTGTAAACTAGTTTGTGCCACACCCCCCCTCGAAACAGTAGCATATCAACCCTCTTTCGAGGGGTAAAAGTTTGTTGTTTCAGGAGATTGCGCAATGCGCATGTGCATTTTAATTTTGAACGTGCGCACTACGTAATCCATATCCGCCCCGGGCGGAAATGAGATTGTCAGAGAAACATTATATTTTGATATATTTCTCTTGACAGGAGTGATATGCGATTGTTCCGAGGAGGCCGTGATACAAAATACAATGTGCACTCGGCAATCTCGACGCTCGTCTAAAAAAGGGCACGTTCACCCTGTAATAAATCGACGTTATCGAGTTATGGTAAACCTTAAAAATCAATATAGTTCTAATCGCGATCTTAGCATGTCGCCAAATTCACTAGCTATCCCCACCTATACGTTATTTAGACCTCTCGCGTAGGAACTAGCTATTCATCCCTTTCGTCTGAGCACCGCCAAACCGAACGGACGGTAGCAGTTTCATTTATACTTAAGGTACGTTGGCGACTAAAATAATTCGTTAAATATTAAATATCACTGTATAACTATTTGTATTATAATTAACCCATTAAGTCCGGGCGGGACACATTTTCAATTTTTTTTTCAGCGGCTTTATTCGATATGAAAACGATCTATAAAAAAATCAACAAAAGGTAATTCTTATGTAAAATTGTCTCATCTTTCGATCTACGCTATTAGTTTTTTAAAAAAATGTGTATTAACAAAGTTATATTTGTTTATTTAACAAAAAACGTGGTTTTCGAAATGAGAAAAATTTGTCAATCAAAATTTTCGAGTCGAAAACGCTCATAAAGGGAACCTTATTTATAGACTAAAAGTGTCCACGGACCCTAAACTTCAAAGTATAGTGGTAGGTTTTTCCAAATTCAACATGGCGGCACCCAATATGGCGGCTTTAAATAAAATTTTTTTTTGATAATACCGCTAATTCTTTGGTAACTAACAATTTTTTCCTATCTTTATGAAAATTGGTATATAAGGGTTTTTTCGGTCGCTGATTACGAATTTGGTATCAGATTTCAAAAATTCAAGATGGCGGATCCAAGATGGCTACCACCAATTTTGAAAATTCTCCAATTTTGATGAAAATTGGTATACGGGGATTTTCGGGGTCGCTGATTACGAAATTGAAATTAGTTTTTCAAAAGTCAAGATGGCGGATCCAAGATGGCTGCCAAAAAATTTTGAAAAACTGATTGCAAATTCGTAATCAGTGATCCCGAAAACCTCCGTATACCAATTTTCATTAAAATTGAAGAATTTTCAAAATTTTTTATTGAAGCCGTGTGGTAAACATAAGAGAGGAGAGTGTGCTGGATCATTTACGTACCTCAGGCCGTGCGAACATCAGAGAGGATACTATAGTTTGAGCGAAGCGCCAAAGCGGCGCTCGTTACACACTTTTCTGGACTTCTACGTCCGACACCTAGATACAAGAAACTACGGAGCGGAATACCTGGATACCCTAGATTTCCACGCCGGGAATCTAGATACAGGAAAGTACAAAGCGGAACACCTGGACACCCTGGACTTCCACATCCGACACCTAGACACAAGAAACTACGGAAAGGAACACCTAGACACCCTGGACTTTCACATCCGACATCTAGATACAATAAACTATGGAAAGGAACACCTAGACACCCTAGACTTCCACGCCCAACACCTAGATGTTCGAGGAACTATGCCGAAGAACACATATACATACACCCATATACGCGCGCTCCACATGAATGCTATTAAAAACTGAATAATTCTATATTGTTGTGAAAGCACCCTTATACGATCTGGAAATTCCGTATGAACGGTAGCTTCACGTATAAAGTGTATTTGATTGTGTTGTATATTCGTAAATTACTAACACCATACAGAGTACAATAGAGTAAAGAGTCTCGGCGGGCCGTGCCCCGTACGGCGGGTTGCCTGTACTTGGCGCGAGACTCGATCGAGTCTCTTGATTTGTCGGTGTCCGTCGGTCTTAACTCGATCTCCGTCTGTATCTCTTCGAATTCTGCCCAATACACTTCAAGTTTGCCGAGCCTGACTTGAGCTTCCGCTAATATTTTTTCTTCCGCTTTTGCTTCAAAGCTCTATACTCTACGATTTTGACTGACAATAACGAGAGGAATATCAAAGAATAGGGATGGGAGAAATAGCGACCCACTTACTTGATATTATGCCCCACGTTGCGTGTATCGTCTCTGCACGGAATTTTTTCAAAACCTTGTCCTGTTCCTTGCGCGCTGCTACGTGCGAAATGCGCTCGATGTCCTGAGATTGAGAAAGAAACCTTTTGTTCGTCTTGCCTTGTTTGCGCGAGAGAGACGTCCTAGGTCTTCTCAATAATTGCGCGCCGCCTTGTGCGGAAAGCGTGCGATGTCTTGAAAGAGAGAAAGAGAGAGAGAGAGAGAGAGAGAGAGAGAAAAGACGTCTTGCGTCTTACAGCTGGAGAGAGAGAGAGACACTTCTCGATCTCTTCTACGTAAGATAGTTAAATTTAATTCTCTTCGTGACGTCTTTCGTCGTCGCTTACACTGTTTTGAACACTTTTTTCGGACTGTATTTCGAATTCGATGTTTGTTCTCCGAGTGGACTGTCTGTTGCGCCAGTCGCTTCTTGTCGTACAGTGTTTTTTGTTGTTGCACGCACAATTTTAGCAATTAGCCCTTCTTCTCAGCTTCATGTGTATTTCCATTCACGTTGGATGCCAATGTTCTATTCTGTGGATAGAAAAAATAAGTACTCTTGCACGATTTCTCTTACGATACTTTTCGGGCGCGGAGAGTGTGATCGTTGGCATGCTCCAATTCAAATTGCGTCAATTCAAACCAACAGACATTAACAAATGAGAAGAACACCTGGATACTTTGGACTTTCACGCCCGATACCCAGATATATGAAACAACGGAAAAGAATACCTGGATATGTGTGACTTCCACGTCTGACACCTAGATATAGGAAACTACGGACAGGCAAACCTGGACACCATGGACTTTCACGTCCGACATTGAAATACACGAAACAACGGAGAGGAACACCTGGATATCCTGGACTTCCACGCCTGACATCTATTGTGACGTGATTCTCCAGAATCGCGCCACAAAATTTAATAAATTCCGTTTTCTCTCTCAACCTATCTCCACACATCAATCCACTAGCGATATTCCGCCTAAAATATCATTTTTAAGGTTTCCGTTTGTGAACGTCTATTATCGTCCTTTAACACTTGTGATTTCGTTTCGCTACACTGACTTATCTTTTGCGTTTTGTTATGTTATAATCAATCTCAATTCTCGAGTCTCTCTACGACAACATAAGAGCGGGAGGACAGGGCGCCATCAGTTTGGAGTTTGGAGATCTTGCGATTATGTTTGAGCGTGGCTGCCGTTTTAAGACTATCCAGTAAGGGATAACCGTGGAAAGATCTGACCGACACTCACACCGGCCACGACGTATCCGTCGTTTCCGCCGACCTGGATGTCGCCGGGATGCTATTGCCGCCGTCAAACGCAAAAGAAACTCTGGAGCACCCGGGAGGGGACTCCACCGTTTCCGTCTGCCGACGAAGGCTGCCCTCCGGGCCCATTCGCCGTCGATACGGCTGAGAGGGAGATAAGGCTTTCCTTCTTGGCTCGCTTAATTAAGGTCTGCCGATCGCCCATGACAGCGCCCCCGTTCGGCCGACAAGCCGCCTGACCATCCCCGCCTGCCAGGCCTAGCGTGTTTCGAGGCCGTGCCCACAGGATCGCCGATCGTCTCCGCTCGGCCGATTCCGCCGCCGCGCATCAAGCATGAAAGAACTCGGCCGCCTTCGTCAACGTTCGTCTTGTTCCATTGCCGTTTCTGCCCCACCTAGGCTCGCTTGCCCACGATCGTCAATCGATAAATCATTGTCATGTGAAGTTTCGAAGCGAACCCACGTGTTGAACATTTTAAGAAAAAGAACGAGAGACGATTGCCGTTGCTGACGCCTTTTCCCAGCTACATCTGGGGCCGGGGTTTTCCGCTTTTCTTGAGGACTTTCTTGCTTTTCTTTTCTGTCGTGAGATTTTTCGTTTAACCTAATATATTCTGTTTTTCTGATTGAAGATTATAGACACGTGCACGGCTAGACCGTCTGTTTAGCAGGTGACTAGTTTTCATTGCCGTTATCAGGCGAATGTCTTCCCGCCTATTATAGCATAAAAGACGATAGTGTCGTTATTATTTTATATTCTTGAGTTTCCGATTTTGCGCTTTCCTTTTTGAGCAAGCTCCACCAAGCTCCCGCGTACGACTCAGAGACCTATTGTCGTCTCGCTCCCACTCATGCTGTGCGAAAAGGACGCTTTGGCTTCTTAGCCGCACCATAGCGCTCGCTGCGTTGCACGCATGTATTCAGGTAGGTCGACAATCACCACCCACTCTTCTCTCTTACTTCACCGCACTGCGTCGACAAGCTGGATGCCAGCAATCGGACACTATCTCTCTTTCTCGCACTAACGATGTGTGACGAGGATGGGTAATCAAACAGTCCATCTCATTCGTACTACTGAAAGTCGCATAGCTCCTTCTTGCTCCTTATCGGCTACTAGCTGTCCTCGTCAGAGAACGTTAGTCTGAGAGAGGGAGAAAGAGCGTGCGTCCGGACACGGGTAGTCCCCCACCAAGCTCCCTATTGCGCATGAGGGGCCTTGTTGTCGTATCGCTTATACTCATGCTGTGCAACAAGGGCGCACCGAGCGGGGTAAGCATCCTGAACGCCAAAGAGTTCAGAAGACCAGGCCAACACAACATCTTACGGCCAAGCAACAGAATGGGACCACTGCCACTCATGACCAGCACAGAGCGACAGACAGCCCCATCAAAACGAAGAAACGGCGAACACTGCGAGCTGAGAATCTAACATAAAAGGGACCAGTTCCTGAACATCGAGTAAATTATCTTGCTCGACGATCGGGAGACGATGGCGGGTGAACAAGCACCAAATCCTGCATAACAAAAATACTCGGATTGCAAGACGAGACCATAAAACAACATCCTGCACAAGCGAGACGATAACAGTATGTGGACTAACAGTAACAAACTGTAACAGTCCAGAAATTTCTAGACGAACACGGTACGCGAAAATAGGCAAAACTCGCAGCCGTTGAGAAGTAGAAATAAGTACACTGCAAAATGTAATCAAATTATATACAATAAGGAACTATCTAATCTAACCTAAGGGCGCACCGAGCAACGCTCTGGCGTTTCGCTTGCACCGTAGTGCTTTCTGCGTTGTAAGTACAGGCCGAGATAGGTGAGCAGTCACTGTCCAGTCTCCTCTCTTATATCACTGCGCTGCGTCTACAAGCTGGACACCATTAATGACGCTCAGTGTACATAAGTCGCTACATGTTTGCCTATTACATGATCTAGCATTGGCCCATCATTTTAACTGTGTTGGGTTGGTATAAAAGTAATGAGACACTCTAGAAAACTGGACACATATCCTTTTTTAAATTAATTGTTTTTGACCATATTCTAGTACGTTGTAGAACATTTTAGATACTTCCGCTCTGTGGGATACAATAGAATATAGGCAAAAACAATTTATTTAAAACAGGACATCTGTAGAGTTTTCTAGAGTGTCTCATTACTTTCATGCTAACCCAATATTTTCAAAATCTCCTATGACGTTTTCGCTACTCATTTATATTACTACTGCTTTCCGTAGTTGATTGTGATTTAATGGTCAGTTAATAATTAATCAAACTTTAGGTGATTCCTTATCGGGTACTACTTGGCGAGTCCGTGCATTTCTTGATATAAATTTGCGTTCATTATGCCAGTCATCAAACTCAAAACCAATGTCAACTTTCTATATAGAGCATATTAACAAACATACAGTATTAGAATGCTATTAGTACGTTCGAAGTAAGTACTTAAAATTCCTGGCACGGACCCGCTAAATAGTACTCGATAAGGTATCATTTAAAGCTTTAATAATTATTAAATGACCATTAAATCATAATTAAATACGGGAAGCAGTAATAATGTAAAAGAGTAATAAAAACGTTATACGAAATATTTGAAAATGCAATGAAAATGATGGGCCAGTGCTAGGATTATATAATAGGCAAACACGTAGTGACTTACGTACTTGGCCTTAATAATATGATTTCAACACTTTTTGTTAGAGGTATTCCCAGTACTCCTGTACTTGGTGTAGTTTTTTACACGTAAATGTTACTTTGAGAGATTCGTAAATTACCAACACCATCCAGAGTACACATAGCTAAAGAAGGCAAAGCAGCCAGCCTCATCCGTCTTGTGAAAAAGTAAAGGAACATATAAAGACGACGACGACAACAGCGGACTTGAAATGAAATCATCTTGCTCGCTGTCTCAATACGCCCTAATCTGGTACATCAATCTCATTGATTTTGATAGCAATCAATTCAGAACCCTCAATTCCTATAGTGAATGTATCAATAACTTTTCCTCACACATAGCCGTTCATAAGATATTTGAATCGAAACACAGGTACAAAAAATGCTTCGAGTAGAGGCTCAGCGGGCCGTGTCCTATACAGTGGGTTGCTTGTACTTAGCGCGAGACTCGACCGAGTCTCTTGATACTAACCTTAACACTAATTATCTTTATATTTCGACCTGCAAAACTTATTATACATGTATTTTTAAAATTATCACCTAGAATTCAACCATGTTATTCACGTTCGTCATATTGTGAAAACTCTGTATAATTCATTTAATCATTAGACATAAACTAGTACTTACTCGAGTTAGTTTGGTCCCCGCTGGTAACAGCATCGGCATTAATACCTTTGGCTCTCTCTTCATCTTCTTTCGCAACTTTGCTTTGGTTAGGATTGCAGACCGTCAACGTAACAACCCCTTCAGTCTTCTTCAAAAGTACCGTTGCCTAAACCATTGAAGACGGTAGATTATTTGGTCTGCTTAATGGTATTTTTTATCATGTTAAACAAATTATTAGATAGGCATTGCAGCTCGCGTAATATCTTAATCCCAAAAAAATAATTACGTGTAAAGAACTATGCCAAGTATAGGAGTACTGCCAATTCCTCTAACAAGAAGTATTGAATTTATATTATTAATGCGAATTAAATAAATCACTACTGTGACATGATTCTCCCGAATCGCGCGACAAAACAGTAGAATATTAGAGCTCTCTTTCAAACCAAGCTCCTTACTCCGCCGTTTCCGTCGGCCGGCTAGGACTGCCCTCTGAGCCTATCCCCTGCCAATACAGCCGGCAGGGATATGCCGTTTACTTCCTTGGCCCGCCTAAGGTCTGCCGATCACCTACGACAACCTTCTGCGTTAGGCCGGGAAGCCGCCTGAAGAACCTCAACCCGCCAGGCCCAGTATTTTCGACGGCCATGCCGACAGGACCGCCGCTCGTTTCCACTCCGCCGATTCCGCCGCTGCGCGTCGACGCTCGGGAGAGCTCGACCATCTCCGTCAAGTATCGTCCGATCGAATGCGAGATCGGAATCCTGCTGTGTTTCTGCTGTCTTTACGGCTCTATTTCGCTACTTTATTGAGCTTATTGCTTTCTTTTCTTTTTGTGAGATCTTTCGTTTCTTTAATATCTTCTGTCTTTTTATTGAAGCTTATAGGATACGTACACGGCTAAACTGTCCATTTCGCCTGTGCCTAATTTTCTTTTTCATTATCGGGCGAATGTCTTTCCGCCTATTTAGATTAGTGCTGTTAAGAATGTTGTATTATTGCATTTTTTCGATTTTGCACTTTGGTGGTATGAATTATGATTTATCTTCTTTTCAATTACCAAACTCTTCTAGAGTCTTCGCCTAATGTAAGCGTTAGAACCTGCCTGCCGAGCGTTTGATCCCGAGTTGACCGGCTTGGTTGTTTGGCAACGCAATTCTCTCGCCATGTGTTTATAATAATTTTCCGACTATGATAAGACATGGTTCATTTAATATTACTAAATTTTATTGAAGCATGCTGTGTCGAGCGTAACACGAATGCGAAAACGTAGTATTTACTCCTTTCATACAGCGTAGACTGCAAAATATAAATAAGTAATTTTTATTTAGCGAAAGCCATCATTCTGGCGTACATTTTTGAGTAAAAAAATTGAAACAGCTAGAGAATGGACAGCCGATCACTGAAAGTCCGATGGTTTTTTATTCTATGCTTTATTTCCCTCTTTTCTCACTCTTATGAAGTTCCGTTAAACAATTTGCAAAGAAGATTTTAGTGGCATTCTAACAATCAGTATCGCTACTGGTGTTGCTCAAATTCTTTGTTATGTGCTCAACGCCGATACCAATCAGATGTATCAAGTTTAGAGCTTTTCTGTCTGTTTGCAAACTCTGTCCACTAGTATGTCGATCATCTTACACCTTCCTAAAAGTGATCTCGTTACACCTTACATTTTCATTTTCACCGCATGATCCGCTGACAAAGGCGATTTTCACTTTGTTCGCTTGATGAATAATATAGTTTATCTGCTCTAAGATATATCACGTATACATTCACAATCCAAAAGTTTGATTCATTTAAAATTCTTACACTTCGAAATAAGAGAAAATTTGAAAGAAAACAAACATCATTGAAAATACTAAGAACATTGATTTTGAATAATATTAATAATGCTAAAAAGTTATAATAGTAATAAGTTAGCTTAAAAAACAGCTTTGAAAATTTTCAGAAGACTTAATCCTTTTTCTTATAAAATTTGTGATTACTTTGCTAACTTTCGAATCACGGTCCCAAGGCGATTCCGGTTACCGATACAGATAACGTTCTCGATTTCTGGTTCCCTTCGGGTCTCCACCCTGCTCAGAAGCTACGCTCTCGGGTTGATTCGTATAGTTATGTCAAGGCTCTCGTAAGATTTCGTTATGGTTTAATTGAGGTCGAGGTACTCGAATCTGCCGTGGGGAGATAGTCTCGACGTACTCAGTTGCCCGGCAGAGGAGAGTACCCAACGGAGACGTCTCCACGGACCGGCAGAAGCCCGGGTGAAATACCGGCGCCCCGCTGGAGATGGGCAAAGGGCTGTAGAGCGGGCGGAGGAAGTTTTGATATGGTTAAGGGCAGGAGAGGAACCTCCTGCCCGAGTTAAGGATGTGGTGCCCAGCTGTCGCCCGATGCCCTGGGGAAGCGGCCGTGGAATCTCCAAAAATCACGTACGGATTCGCTAAGGAACGCTCTCGATTTGGTTTAAAGGGACGACTCAAAGGAGATAGA